AATGTTTGCTTATCAGCTCTACACATAACACGAAGCAGGAAGGAATAGGCAATACAACGGATAACAAAAATTCAGAATAAAATAGATTCTTACCGCCTGCAATCACAGGCCTATTTTAACAAAATTAAAAAAAATTTTATATATACATTTTATTGATTTTTTACAGAGAGGAAGTGAGAGAGATAGAGAGTTAGAAACATTGATGAGAGAGAAACATCGATCAGCTGCCTCCTGCACATCTCCTACTGGGAATGTGCCCGCAATCCAGGCACATGCCCTTGACCGGAATCGAACCCGGGACCTTTCAGTCCGCAGGCCGACTCTCTATCCACTGAGCCAAACCAGTTTCAGCGAATAAGATTAAAATTTTCAGAGGTAAATATAGGGTCATAAATTTCAGGCCAAAAATCTCCACAATTGGACAACAATGCAGTCTGATACACTGGAGGCAGTACAAGGACGGAAGGGCATCTGCCATAGCTTCTTCATAAGCCAAAGAGACCCAAGTTCAAATCCCACTTCTGCTTCTGGCCACACAACCTCGTACAAGTGATTTAACTTCTCTGAGCCTATTTCCCCATGTATAAGATGGGACACCACATATGACACAGAATTATTGTGAGGATTCAATTAGAAAATAATGTATTTGACACACGGTACTCAAAAGTAGAACTAATATTATCAACAAAACATGTGCCAAAGTCACTGGAGTTTCCATTTAGTTATTCCTCCAATAAACAATCATATTATGTACTAGCCCCTGTGCTATATTTCAGGATTCAATGGCAAAGAAAGCTATGGTTCCTGCTTTTAAGGATCTAATAGTTTTAAGGGTTAGACAGACCAGGAGAGACAGTATGGCAGTTTGTGGGTAAAACTAGGACAGTACAATGTGATGTTGTATAGGGTGTTATGGGAGGAGGAAGGAGGGGTATCTAATGAGACTGAAGAAACAGGGATTTGTGTTTTAGCAAAGATCTGTATTTTAGAAAGGGCACAAACACTAGTGAGGGCCAGACTGCTAACGCAGGGCAACCAGCTTGGAGGCCATGCAGGAATATAGGCAGGAAGTAAGAACCTGATTTAAGGCAGTAGGAGAGAAAATAAAGAAGACGAAGGCATGCCAATCAATATCGAGGATTCTGATGACTACCTGGGCTCAGACGGATGGTATGAGAGGGAAAAAGTCCACAGTGACTCCCAGGGTTCTGTTCTGAATGACTAAATGGAAGAAGGAGGATGAGTGAGACTACAGAACGGTGAATCACAGGTTTGGTGGAGATGCTGAGCTTCACTTTGAACTTGGTGAGTTTGAGGGCTGGCACTCAGGGGAGATCCAGGCTCAAGGAGAGCAGGGGTCACTGGCACATAAATGGGAGTTGAAGCCGGGAAAAGTAGAGAAGACAGAGCCTTAGAGAAAACTAGCATTTAAGTGACAAAAGGAGGAAAACAGCCCACAATGGAATCTCAGGGGGAAATGGCCAGAGAAATACTACAAAGCAGGAGTGGTTTTTCATATGTGAAAGAATATCAGGCAATACCAGATGTGCTGAGAATTCAAAAGAGTAGGAAGGAAAAGTGTTTAGGAGTTCTGGCAACATCGAGGTCTGATGACTGGGAGACTCAATGGCACGGTTAAGAGGCTGGGAGAGGAATGAAAATGTGAAAGACAAGGAGACTGGTAAGAGAGCTGCTCATGTACAAATGAGAAGCACTGAGCTGACAGTGTGACAGTGTCAAGAGCACGATGTGATGTGTGTGTTTACAACAAAGCCAGATGGGGCCTTGGATTATCTCAAGAAAAAGTCCTGCTTTTCCTGACCAGACTCCTTGAAGAAAGAGGACTTCCTTTCTACACCACACAAAGAGACTGTCAAACAAGAACAAGTTCAAAGAAGGGTAATGAGAATGAAGAAAGTATGAGGTAATGTCAACGGTAATCATTCTGGGGCTGGACTGATGCCAAATGAATAGGCTGTGATCCAGTCTGCCAAAACTATGGAGGTGCATATTGTCTACTTGGTAGCAAGGCACCACCTATTTTTTCTCCCTTAAATCACAATTGGGTCTTACACTGAGAAAAATATAAGTAAGGATTGGGGGATAGAGAAGAAGAGGAAGGCATTTGTGAACTTCGCTATTCCATGGGTAAAACTGGAGGACTGAGGCAATCTGAGAGAAGGTCAGGAATAATCAGGGAACTCTAATCAAAGAACTCTGTTACTTATTACCACGCAGAGGATTCATTCTCCCCTACCCCAATTTCTTGATTCCTTTCTCCCTCCTCTTCCCTGTATGGGGTCACACCAGTCCAGCAAATCCCACTTCCTTTACCTTTCAAATCCACCCACCCTTCTCCCTCTCCACAGGCACTGCCTTGATTCAGGCCGCCTTCTGTCACCTGGACCACGGCAACAGTGCCCTGACTGGTCTCCCTGCTGGTCCCATCCTGTTCAATGTAATCACCACAATGCTGCCTGGGTAATTTAAAACAGAGAGCCTGTCACACCTTGTTTAAAATCCCTCAGTGCCCCATTCTCCAGCACCACCCTTTCAAAGTAAAGTCCAAACTTCTCTGCATGGCAATATTAACTGCTGCAGTTTATTGTCATCTACCAGAGCCAACTGGATAACATTTATCTTATGTAATTCTCACATCAACCTTGGGAGGGCTTGTATTTCCTCTTTTTATGGATGAGAAAACTAAAGCTTAGAAAGTGACTTGCCCTAGTTCACAAAACTAGTTCAGCAGCAACACTCGTATTGGTACACAAGTATTTGAGATTCCAAAGTCTGTGTTCATAACATGCTATTGCCCACAAGGCCCTTCATGATCTGTCTCCTGCTTACCTTTTCAGTCACCTCTTATCCTACAACTCCACCCTCCAACTTGGGTGAACTACCAGGAGGTCATGCATTGTCACCCACAGCCCTTTGCTCACACCACCCCCAGAGTCTGCACTATCTTCCCACCTCTCACCTTCAGGACTTGGGCAAAGCAACACCTCCTTACAGAAGCCTTCCCTGATGCCTGAGTCTGACCTATGAGCACCCTAAATCCTCCTCTAGCAAACATCTACAAAAGCTTCACAGAATAGTGCTGTTGTCTATCTCCTTGAATTAGAAGAAAAAAATTCCTTGAGGACAGGGAGGTGTATCTTACTCGTTTTAATATTTCCAGCTTGCGGAGCAGTGCCAAGCACAGCAGAAGCTCAATAAATACTTATGCTTATTCTTTATTATGAGAGGCTGGCTGGGAACAGAAAAAGGACCTGTGGTTGAATGAGCCCTATAGTTAACTTCTTAAATGGTTTCAAAATTATGTCACATGAAGCTTTCTCTGATGCCTTCATGTGACATGAGAAGTTATGTCACCTCCTCAGAGAAAAGCTTCTTCTGCTTCCCCCCAGTTACTCTCCGTCCCATTACTATGTTCCTTTCTTTTTTTAAAGCATCTATCAGGATCTGAAACACCTACCACCCATTAAAGGTATTGCACTATTAACTATCACCACCACTGCTGCCCCCATGATTAAAAAGAAGGCTCCATGCCTCAATGTCAGTGGGGCATAACAAAATTCTCAGCTGTTGTGGAGTTGTCTGTGGGTAAAAAAAAAAAAATTAAATGAGCCCTAACCAAATAGCTCAGTTGGTTAGAGCAGTGGTTCTCAACCTTCCTAAGGCTGTGACCCTTTAATACAGTTCCTCATGCTGTGGTGACCCCCAACCATAAAATTATTTTCTTTTTTTTAAAATATATTTTATTGATTTTTTACAGAGGGGAAGGGAGAGAGATAGAGAGTTAGAAACATCAATGAAAGAGAAACATCGATCAGCTGCCTCCTGCACACTCCCTACTGGGGATGTGCCCGCAACCCAGGTACATGCCCTCAACCGGAATCGAACCTGGGACCCTTGAGTCCGCAGGCCGACGCTCCATCCACTGAACCAAACCGGTTTCGGCTGTCTCCTTTTTTTAAAAAAAAAAAATATTTTACTGTTTTTTTACAGAGAAGAAGGGAGG